TCTAACTGCAAGTTTGTACCTTGTGACTCACATGTCCCCTCCCTGCCATTTGACCCTCTCCACACTTCCCTGAGTCTAAAAAAATAAAATAAAATAAAATAAATAACCTCTATTCTACTCTTTGTTTCTATGAGTTTGGCTTTTTTAAATTCCACATATAAGTGATATTGCACAGTATTTATTTTTCTCTAATTTATCTCACTTAGCATAATACCCTCATATTTCATTCATATTGATGCAAATGGCAGGATTTCCTTCTTTCTCATGGCTGAATTATATTCCATTGTCCATATGTACCACCTCTTCATTATCCATTCATCCACTGGTGAACACTTAGGGTGTTTCCATATCTTGGTTATTGTGAATAATGCTGCAAAAAACGTGAGTGTTCAGCTATCTTTCTGAGATCCTATTTTCATTTCCTTTCAATATAGACCCAGAAGTGAGATTACTGGATCATATGGTAGTTCTATTTTTTATCTTTAACGATTCTGTATTATATATGTGAAAGTTACCGAGAGACTAGATCTTAAATGTTCTCACCATAAAAAGGAAATGGTAATTATGTGATGTGATGAAGGTGTTAGCTAACACTATGGTCATAATCATGTAGCAACATTCAGTAGAAGTATCAAATCAACACGTTATAAACCTTAAACTTCACAATATTTTATGTCAATTATAGTTCCATTTTTAAAAAAGGAAGTGAGATTTTGGTCTCTTGTCTGGACAAAATGTAATTGAAAATAAAGATGGAAGCTTGGAACTGTTTTTTTTTTTTTTTTTTAAGTTTAGTTTTAACAAGAAGCTAAGTTTTGACAAGACTTGCTAATTAAGTCTGCAAGGAGGATAATACAGTGCTGATTAATCCAGCTGTACCTGCTGGCGGAAGATCCTCTGAAATAAAGAACTGTCAAGTTCTTCCAGCAGTGTGGGACACGGTGGGGCTCAGTGTTTTGGGGCCCATTGTCCTGTAATCTGCCAGGATACCTACAATGGCACTTACTGCAGGTTTCTCAGTAGGAAGATGGGAACCTTGCACTTGACCAATGATCAGTCCTTGTACGATTACTTGCTGTGTTCTTTCTCTGCACCCACATCATGCAGGGGCCCTGGGCACCCCAGAAGTGCCCCCTGCTTTAAGAACTCAACAATCCCATTGGGGGAGACAAAGTAAATACTAACAAACAAAGACTGAACAACAGAAAAAAGTATGTACTTATTACTTCATTGAATGGTAAACGCGATGTGCCAAGGAATTCACAGGAGGGGACCGCCAACTAAGGCTGGAAGAAAGGAGCTTCCAGACAAATGGAAGTCGGAAGCGTGCCCCACCCCGCCCCACAGGAGCCGTATGCGCGTCCCTGCCCACATGGTTCGCTCGTGTGACTTGCTTCAGCCCACGAGACATTACGAGGAGGCGATGTGAACGAAGGCCTCAAATACGCTTGCACAGTTGGGCTTTTAGCCTTCGCCATGAGATTGTTGGGGAGGATAAACTTCTCCTCCACTCTCTTATGTTCAGTAAATGGAGGCCTGTGAATTAAACTAACAAAAGACAGATTAACAGGAGAAAAAGCATGCAATTTTTATTAATATTTTACATGTACAAGAGTGCACAGGAGAAGAGAAATGTGAGGTGACTGGATTCGGGGGCTCGTGTACCATTTTTACAAAGGAAAGGGGGTTTGGGATTAGAGGAATGATGAGTGGTGGGGAAGTAATTAGAAAACACGTGCGGGAACTAATGGAAGAGAAGGCTATTTTAGTAAGGCTTGTTTATGCAGACTCATCTTGGTGCCTTCTCTCTGTCGCTGGTGATAGGAGTTGTTCTCCTCGTCCTGGTACCTGAAAGAATGAAACACCCTCACAAAGGGAAATGTATACCCTGCTTTTAGGCAGAAAGGGGGAAGGTAGAGAGCTCCTTTTGCATCTGCCAATTCTCAGTAGCTCTTTTGCCAAAGTGGCATATATTGGGGTTGCATATACGGATTCCATTCAATGAACATGACCAAATTGCCTGATGACCCCAGAAGAATAAAAGACACATTGAGCATGCCTAGACCCACCTCACAGCCCGGAACTGAGCCCAGATGAGTCCAGCCTAGATCAGCTGAGCCAAGCCAATCCACAGGCTCCTGAGGCTGTGTGGGTCTGCTCCTTTTAGACAGAACCTGTGTTTTCTGGTTTGCCCCAGTACCCACCACTCCTTGCTGCTTTCCACTTAGCCTGCTTAGGCATTTGAGTTTATAATCCAGTGATTCTCAACCACGGTAATTCCCTCCCCACCCTAACACACACACACACACACACACACACACACACACACACACACACACACACACACCCAGGGACATTTGGGAATGTTTAGAGAATGTTTTGGTTGTCTCAACTGAGGGGTTGCTACTGGCATCTAATACAGATAGGCTGGGGATGCTGTTAAGCATCCTATTATGCATAGGATAGCTCCCTACAACAAAGAGCTAGCCCCAAATGTGAATATTGGCAAGACTGAGAGCTATGTGTGTATCTTGAAAAAAGAATACACACATACATATGCATATGCACATATACAGGTGTGTGTACATGTACACATAGGACATATATAATATTTTTTGGTTTTTTTAAATTTACATAAATAGTATTGAGATATGAATCTTTTATTTATCAATATGTTTTTTTCATTTACCAATATATTTTTTTAATATCTTTCTATGTTGCTATTCATAAGTCTAGTTCCTTCCTTTCTGGCTAGTGCAGTTTTCCATTACAGCTAATTCTTGCCATGCAGCAATGAAAGCTCAGTTGTTTTTTTTTTTCACGTTTTTAAATTTTTTTAAGAGAAGCCCCAAATCCTTGATTTTAAGATGTTAGCAACTAATTCAAATTTTAAAAAAATGTTTGATGAGCCAAAGAAATCACTCACTTCTGTGTGCTGTTTGTTTCACAGTCTACTGGTCTGCGTCTTCTGCTCTAGCAATGTCCCAGGAGCAGGGACAATAGGGAAGTAATTGAATATCGCCTCTGGACCCTACCCTTCCACCCCTTTTTTTCCTTCCCTTCTACCTCATGTTGCCTTCACTATGAAGTCTTCTACTCCAGTCAGCTTGGACACCTGCCTTATGGGAACTGAGCTTAGAACTTGAGAAGGTATGGACTGGACCCAGGTCATACAATCTGAGAACTTCTAAAAGCACAGGAGCCTAAGCTGGGACCTGAACTGACGGGTGGCCGACCAGCTTCATGTGAAGTGGTTCGGTGCTGGAACTACTCCAGTTCTTTCCAGCACCACCTGGAGATGAGTATGGTTGGATGGCTGTCTCAGATTGGAAGAGCGCCCACGAGTCCATACTCCGGATCTGAACCAACCCCCTGCGGTGTCTTAGGTTGGTGTTATGGACTGAATTGTGTCCTCTCCAAATTTATATATTTAAGTCCCAACACTTACTACCTCAGAATGTGATTGTATTTAGAGATCAGGCCTTTAAAGGCATAATTAGGTCAAACGAGGTCATTTGGGTGGGCTCTAACCCGGTATGACTGGTATCCTTATAGGAGAAGATTAGGACACAGACACACATGGAGAGTAGACCTTGTGAAGATGCTGGGAGAAGGTCATCATCCACAAGCCAAGCGAGGGCGGGGCTCAGAAGAAACCAGCCCTGCTGACTCCAGTCTCCAAACCTACTGAGGAAGAAATTCCTATTGTTTAAGCTACCTAGTCTGTGGCACTCTGTTATGGCGGCATTAGAGGACTAATACAGCTGTGTTCTTTGAAAACAGACTCTGAAGTGCAGAGTCGTGTGTGAAAGTGTATGGGAAATCCTATATGAGAACAAGGAAGGCAGAATTGGGAGAAATTGACCTACAGTGAGGTTGCCGCCAAGGTGAGGTTCTGGACCTCGGATGGCCCATTTGGGCTGCTCCGCATTGAGGAAAGCGGCCTCTGGTTTTGTACAACGGTCTCTCTCAAGGTGAAAGGAGGAAGGTGATTTTGTCTCCAGGGTACATTTGGCAATGTTTGAAGATAATTTTTTTGGCTTCCACAATTGGGGGAGGGGATGTGGGGGCACTACTGACATCTAGTGGGTGGAGGCCAGAATGCTGCTGCTAAATATCCTACAGGGCACAAGACAGCCCCCCACAACAAAGAGCCATCCAGCCCCAAATGTCAATACTGCCGAGATCAAGAAAGCCTGCCTTCAGTCAAGGAGACATTGGCCATGAGCCGCTTTGGAAAGGACGGACCTTGGACAGGTCCCTGCAGCTAATGGCAATTCCCACTGAGGGGAGCAGCTGTGAGCCACCGGTAGTCTATGTTCCTAGCAACTGAGGAATGGGTGTGTTTGCCATGAAGAGAGCCTCTAGGGAGAGCAAGGAGCCCTTTATCTTTCCCCTTGGACTTCTCTTTCTCATAAGAATAATACCAACCATATTCGAGGCACTGATCTGGGGATTTTCCATATGTTATCTCATTTAAGCCTCATGAAAAGCCCAAGAGGTGAATTTTATTACTCCTATTTTATCAAACGATAATCTGAGACTCAGAGAAGGTTAATCACTCACCCGCGGTTACTGAGCTAGCGAACTACAGAACCATGATTTGAATCCCGAGCTGTTGGCTCCAAAGTCTGGCTCATTTGCAGGCAGGAAGGACAGGCTTTGCTAAAACAAGGGCAGTACACACAGCACACGTAGGAGAGAGAGGTGGACTGTAGACTTAACCCAGAACGAACATAAATCCAGCCTCGGAACAGCCAGAGGAAATAATGTCTGATGCTGTGCAAACATCAGGGGGGCCAGACCCGGAGCTTGGGGTTCTCGGAGAGGGGCCTCCTGCAACTCTACACCCACAAACACAATGGGTTACCAGAAATAATCTCTTTCGTAAGGAGGATTTTTTCTTTTTTTTTGCCTCCTAAGGGCAATGCACGAACCTTAGGACTTTGTATGATGACAACAGTAACTATAAAGAAGAAAAAAAAGCCACTTCCCAGGAGTCAATGGTATAAAAATAATTTTTATTTACTACTGTAAATAAAGTAGTGCAAAGAGTAGTTTGGACCCACAATATTGCATTACTGATTTATTTACTACCGTAGCAGCATACAGTGTACAGACAATCTGCTCTTCCTCTCCCTCTTAAACACACACACACACACACACACACACACACACACACACGCACACCCCTACACAGACTCAGGCAGGTATTAGGGGTGGGGATGAGACTGTGAGCTAAAGGCTTGTTTCCTGCATATTCCACTGCTGCCAGTCTATTCTAATGGGGTAATTCATGGAGAAGGCTACACTTAAATACTAAGAATTTTCTAAGTGTTATTTTATGGGTTGCAATTTAAAAGTAACCAATGTCCAACAATGTCATTAAATGATTCGGAAGCACTACGATCTTAGAAAAATTCAAGGAGAAAAATGTAAACCAATTTACAAAGCCATCACCTTCCCTGTACTTCCAGCCATAAGCTATTTATTTCAAAGTGCCTTAGAACTGCTGGGTGTTGGAAGTCATATTGAAATCTGTTGATCGGACTTCGAGGAGCAGGGCTGCGGCAAATACATGTACGAGAATATTGTCTAACTTGTAGAAAAGTCACAATTTTCTGTTATTTAATAAAAAGGAACGAACAAGGGGCTAAGATTCTTAAAATACATTTCGGTGTAAAAGGATTCAAATATGCTGCAGGGCAAACTGTGACTCTCGATACACAGAGTCACCAGAAATGCAATGACCCAGCTAACCTCCCTGACACACCCCATGATCAGGATGTTCCTTGTATTTGATAGCCTTTGGTACCACTGTCTTCTCTGGGTACTTGCTTATAATTTGATTTAAAAAAAAAAAGACACCAAGTGCAAAATTTGCATTCAGTTGACAAGACATTTAAGGTGTTTATCAGTATAATGCCCTGGCCCCAGCTTGCCAATACCATCTGTTGAAAGGATTCTCTCATCTGGAGAGAACTGTGGAGCACAGTTCACCCACGTGGCTCTGGGTTATTAGTGACTGTGGGCTGGTCCTGAGCTGAGGCATCTGCAGCTGGAGTCACAGCTGGACTTGCAGTGGGAGCGGTGCGGTCGAGGGAGGCCCCGGCTGGTATCAGGCTGGAACCATTAGCTATAGAGACACACACACAACAGGTGGTGAGTATTCACAACAGGACACACAACCACACCTAGAACCTAGCAAAACCAGGAGACATCTAGTTATCTACTAACTAGATAAGCAACTTTGGACCCATTATCTAGGTTCTTTGGACTTTGGTGTCTTCTCTAAAATGGCAGGTCGGAATAGATATACTAAGATCTCTTGAGAGTTTTGGCATTCTGGGACTCTAAATTCTGCATTTATGCTGAGACTGCCAGGTCAATATTTTAATCAAAAGAAGAAAAGAAAAAAACCTCTTTGGTCTGTGTTTCCTGTGGTCCTATTTCCCCCCCCAATGGTGTTGATTCACTGCAAACTATGAATTATACCAATCAATTAGAAAGGAGTGTTGGTTTTATTGACATCCATATTACATTTGGATGATGTATCAAATTTGGTTAAATTATGTTATTTAATAAACGTAATTATTAGGTTTAATTATTAGCAATCTACCTATAGTAGAAGGTTAGACCACCATAAACATTAGGGAGGCTTATAAAGTTTTATGTTAGTGGTTTTCAAATGGGGGCAATTTTAGGGATAGTTAGCAATGTCAGGAGACCTTTTGGTTGTCACAACTAGGGGATGGGGTGCTACTGGCATATGGTGGGTAGAGGCCGTGGATGCTGCAAAGCACTCTACCGTGCACGGGACAGCCTCCAGGTGCCAACAGTGCTGAAGTTGACATATTCTGCTTTAGGTACTGAGGCCAAGAGGTGTCCTGGTTATAAGATTATGGGCTCTGGAACCTGGTTACTCTGCCCTTTCTGTTATGTGACCTTGGACAAGTTTCCCACTCTCCTTATACCTCTAAAATATGGAGAAAATAAAAGTCTCTATACCCTGTTGAGCTGTTAGGATTAAATGAGCTAATGTATACGAAGTGCTTAGAACAGTGTCTGGCAGGCACAGGCACTCAACGAATGTTAGTTATCCCTGCTGGTGACTTGGTTTATTGAGGAAATGTGTTTTATTAGTCAGCAATTTCAGGTGCATGGCTTGCAGGATTGATAACAGAGTTGGTGCATTTGTTTCTGGGATGCTCTGATGTTTACCTTTAGAGTGGTCTTGTGCAAATTACTTAACCTCTCTGAGCTGTAGTTTCTTCGTCTGTAAAATGGGGGTAGCAGTCTGCAGGGATGTGTGATGTATAGCCAGCACAGTGGCCATAGTCTGTGCAAACAATTGCTAATTTGCTCTTAAGCAGTGATCTTAATTGAGCTTAGTGATCCTTGAGTCTTTTATGATTTTCAGAAGATGGGACCATTTAAAAATGTCCCAATACATCCTGAAATGCATTCACTTTAAGAATATGCCATTACATGCTGATAATCTGACTTTTAGAAAAAAATCTTCAAGAGTTCCACCTCCAAGTACCTATGGTGATCTCCAAAGGGCCATTCTCAGAAATTCAACAAGGGCTCCAAAGCCTCTGGCTTTTCAGGACACATAAAAGAATTCTCCCAGGAATTCAATACTTTTCCATACCTACAGATCTTCTGGCTCCGGAGAAAGGACAAGGGTAGGGTCGGGGGGATCCAGGATGTTCCATAATGATGTGACGTTTCTAGGTTATTTAACAGATGATCTAACCCTGGCAGGGAGCAGGAGGCCCAGGGATGTAGTGCAAAGACCATTTGCTAGAGTCTAGAGATCTGGTCTGGTCACGTCTCATTTACCTTCTACTAATAGATGACTTTGGAATAGATTTGAATGGCAGACAGTTCACTTCTACAATGCTTGAATCCCGTAGGCCTTTGTTTCCTCACTTGCGAATCGAGGGGCTTAGATCAGATGGTCCAAGACCCCTTTGGGACCTAAAGTTTATCTTTCTGATGATCTCTGAGGAAGTGAATGAAGTACTAAGGCTTGCAGTTTTCCTTTTCAAGCGCAGGGAAATGTTTAAATCACCATGGTAACAAGAGAAACCAGCAATCAGTTTTCTGATTAAAACAAAAAAGTGCCACGGTGTAAATGTAGAAGGAATGCATAATTAACATTGCCACAATTTAAATCTTCTTGTCAGAGCATAATAAAAATGCTCTATATTTCTACAGTAAGCTTGTTGTTACCCATGTGAGAACTCTCCCTCTTCCATTGAGAGTTTGCAATCACTGGACAAGCTCCCTCCAGACCATCATAATTTTCAAGTGGCCTCTTTTTCTCTGCTCACCTGGAATGTGTGTTAATTTGATTACCGGATTACAACCAAGGTAACCGGAAAGTAAGTATGCTGTTTAAAAAATTACAGAGTGTATTCCAGAAACAGAAGTGATTTTTGGATTACTTGCTGCTCAGGGGACCATCTTCTCTATATTAGTGAGAATAATCAAGAATTGGCCCTCAGTGGTGTAGACAGACTGCAGCCCACAGAACAAAGGAGGTTCATCGCCTGTTTTTCTATGGCTTGCAAGCTAAGAATGGTTTTTCTATGGCTTGCAAGCTAAGCATGGTTGAACAAAAATCAAAAGAAGAGTAATATTTCATGACATGTGAAAAACATGAGATTCAAATTTCCGTGTCTCCTGTAAAGTTCTATTGGAAACCATTTGTTTTCATGTATTGTCAATGGCTGCTTTCACATTATAAGGGAAGCTGAGTCAAGACAGAGATGGTCCTTAAAGGCATAAATGTTTATCTGGCCCTTTACAGAAAAAACGTGCCAACCTCTGTTGTAGACCATTGTAGGAGAAACAAAGAAAGAAGAATATGAGAGAATACACTGGGTTAATGATTACTGAGATAGTAAAATGTTTGCAAAGATGGGTTTAAGGGGATGAGTGAGGGGGAAGCCCTGGAAATTATATGCTATGAATGTAGCCTACTTCCTTTGGGCCTCTGAATCTAGCAGGGCCCAGTCCAAATACGTGATCCACATTATTTAAACACTTCTTGTGAGTAGAGATACTGGGAGGGCACCAGGCTAATGAGACAGGAGACCGGTGAAGTCTCACCGTCAGATCGCTGCAGCTGTACAGCTACTGCTTTTTTCATGAGTACCACTTTGTGACATTTTACTGTAATTTTAGTAGAAATCTCATTAATTGGAAATGTAGAGGACAGGAAAAGAGTAGGAAAAGGCTTAATTAATCTTGTTCATATCAACCTCCTCTTACACTAGGGTAACCACTTAGGCAGAAAGGATGAGTTGGCTTAAATTATGAATGTTTTGAATAGGCTGATATTGGCTTAAAAGGTTACTACTCAGTCATACTTAGGAGCTGGTTGTTCTGCAAATCTTTCTCTATACTGCGTATTCTACTTAGACATAAAGTTTACATTAATGGTACGAAGGCAGGACTCTTTCTTTGAAATGGTCATTTACATTTCTTCTTCCCTTTACCTTCCTTCAGGTAACCAGCCGGCCTCCATGCCTTTTTATTTATTTATTTATTTAGTGGTGGGGCAGAAATGGAGATGATTCTAGACATACTTTGCTTTGGGATCTTTTTGTTTTCTTTTTTTTCAAAAGCCTGAGCCCATTAAGGCAATTATGTCTGGCGTTCCTGACAGGCAGGGGAGAGGGCGCGTGCTTCGGAGATGCGCTGAGGCAGGACAATGAGCCTTCTTGGAGTCTGGGATGTGGCTGGGCCTGGCTGTGGGTTAGACCATCAGCAGAGCCCTCACTCTGTGCCTTCAGCAATCTGAGAGAGGAAGACTTGGGAGAAAAAAGGCTAACGATACTCAGCTTTAGCAAAGATGATGGGACGCCAAGTGACCCAGAAGCTGCAAAGCCAATGGACCTGGAGGGACAGTGCAGGCCCGGGGCACTATGTGTGTTCTGCTATCAGACTGGCACCATTTGAGTGTGCCTAGTGTTACCCAAGACCCAGGGACCTTTGCAAAACCTGGGAGGCATCAACCTCAAGAGAGATGGAGCTGCCTGGTGGAATGCGAACTAAGAGTCAAAAACAAGTTCCCTTAAAGGAGATGGAAAAGGTGTGCAATGTGTTTTGTATACTTGTTTTGGTCCCCTTGATAGACTAGTCAATAAATACCATCTTTAGATGCTTTCAAAAAGCATTTTATGGTTTAGAAAGAGTCTAATGGCATAGAAAAACATAGTAGGCTCTGTGTCATACTGAGGTAAACCAAGCTATTTAAGTGCAGATGCTACCTGGTGTCAGCATGCTTTCATTGCAAGTAAAATGCCCCGAGGACATTCCTCCTTGGAAGCTACCAGCTAAAACTTGTGGAGTTCTAAGCACATTGCATCTTATCTTATTTGGTTCTCTCAACTACAATAGGAGGTAGTTGTACTATTTCCACTATTTTACAGATGGGGAAACTGAGGCACAGATAAGCTGCCTCCTTTGTCCAAGGTCACACAGCTAGCGGCAGGGCCAGAAGTGTAGCAGCCTGAGTCTCAAGCCTGTGCTGTTGGCTACTGTCCTGTGCTGCCAGCCTTCTGAATGTGGGACAGTTCAACGTGGCAAACGCAGTGCAGTATATCACAGAGCACATAAACTCAGGGGGAAATGAAGGTATTGGGGCTGAATGCAAAACGGATGGACAGCTCAACTGAAAGGTTTGACCATAAGTTAGTAATTTTTAAAAACAACTGACTGGAAAAATGCAAATCATGAAATGACAAAGATCACTAACTTACAGCACAGTCTTTACACAAAGCTACTGCATCTTTCCCCTGCCCAGGGGTGGCAGGTCATGGGACCTTGGCAATTGCTCATCAGAGAGACACCAGTGGTAAAAACTTTGCCCTGAGGGTCCCCCTGCAGTGGCTTTTCTCCAATGTCTGTGCCTCTGTCACCCCTGTCCATCTCCCTATCACTGATGGAGTACCTTCTTATTTATTTCAAAGCTACTGACAAATTTGCATTTACGTCGAGGACTTTAAAAATGTGAACGTAATTTACTATATATTTTAACTCAACGTTAGCTCTAACGGGGCTGGTAAACACCACTTGTGGGGGCACATTTTGGAAATTGTGGAATTTTTTTTTTTTACTTCTAGACCCTTAAACTCAAAGTGCGCTCCATGGAACAGCAATGTGTGGACATCACCCAAAAGCTCATTAGGGATGGAGAATCCCTAACCGACAACCAGAACCTGCGTTAAACGAGATCCCTGGGTGATTCGTGTGCACATTAAAATTAAGAAGCACTGGGCTAGAATTACATGTTGAAATATATATTATTTTATGATAATTAGTTTCTTTCAATTTCTCCTTTATAATGCTATTAGGGCATTATTTAAAAATATATGTGTAGGCAGGCTAATTGTTATTCATTTCAGGGTACCAAAAATGTGTGGCAAAATATTTCTTATATAAGGAGACCACAGGTTTGAGACAGCTGATAATGACTGCTTAAAGTACGGTGAGTTCGAAAAAGTTTGAAATTTTGCTGCCCTCCATCCTTTCTTGGACTTTATTTGTGATTTTGGGCAAGCCACTTCATCCGTTTGGCCTTAATTCTTCATCTGTAGAATGAAGGGCAGAAAATTAAATTATTTTTAAGATCCTATGCGATTTCACTAAAGCTGGTGATTGGGGAGAAGAAGGGAGGTACGTGCAGGAAGAAGCAAGTGAAAGAGTTTGGGGAAAAAAGGAAGAAAATGGGTAAAGGAGCAAAGGATACATAGGAGGGGGACATATATGAAAGGGCAGGTGGGACAGGGTGACGAGAATGTGAAGGGACTGATAACTAAGACATGAAGAGAAGAGAAAGAGATGACTTCTGATAAAAGCAATTCCACCAGCCCATGAATTTTCATGGCTACCAGCTGGCATAAAATCATAAGGACAATTTTCAGCTCCTCTAACGGAATTGCATTTGTAATAATCATAACAATATTTCTACAGAGTAAAAATGACAAAGATAATTTGAAATGGAAAACACTGACAAGATGCAAAATAAATGTGCTATACCTAGCAACAAATTTAGGGATGAGACAGAATTTGCATGAGAAAAATTTATAAGCTGGCATACCACAGGGCATCAAACCTGGAAAGGCTTTTGATGGTTCCCTATTAACCTCCTCAGGTAAATCAAAGAGAAATGATTCTGTATTAGCCTCTCGTAACAGAGACTTCTGTCTCACCGTCAAATCTGATATGAAATGTACTCCTTTCGCTTTCCATTATCTGCTACACAAATGATGACCGCACGGATGCTTAAATGCCACGTCCAGTCCTAATGTACCCTTGTGTAAATGCCCCTGTCAGTTTCATGAGTGATTATGTCCTTCTGCAGTCATCCAAGATGGTGGAAAATCATAATCATTTGAGCACCTAAGCATGAGATCACAAATGACAGGCTCATGATCTCACAGGGGAGATAAGCATAACAGCTAAAATTTATTGAGAGGGTTTTATATGCCAGATAAATATAATAGCTAAAATTTAACTACAGTTGTCATTTGGTAAGTCTCATGTGTATTTTTTTCACTGAACCCTTTTAACATCTCTGAGAAGTAGCTACTATTATAACCTCATTTTATTGATAAGAAATTGGAGGATCAGGAAAGTGAAATAACTCTCCATAAGTCACATAGCTAGTAAGTAGCCAAACTTGGACTCTAAGCCCAAACAGAAGTGACTACTGCCCTGAACTAGCTCAGAAAAACAATAGTGAGAAGTAGAAACCACACTAAAATACATGTTTGCTTTACATTCCTCCTCAAATCCTCCCTCTGAATCTTTGTGGCTGGGTATTTTTATTCTTCACGGGTGCTTGTTTATCATTCCATTTGATTAGTTATCCTTTGACTGGGATAGAAAGGATAAGACTTCATGCTGGAGGGGGCTCCAGAGCTAGGTTTTAAGGTACACAGACATAGAATTTTGATAGCAGATGTATTTTCAATGGCAGAAGACACTTTAGTTCAATTTCTCAAGCTTCTTATTTAAAAAATTCTGCTTACTTTGAAAAATACAACCATAATTGAGGCCTTCCGCCAGCCAGACATTACGATACACCCCTAGGAGAACCCCCTACCCATGAATGACCATCCTAACTAAAGGAAATAGCATGGCCAATGGCACGAGGAGGGAGAAGGTCATTTCTCTGGGAGGGAAAAAGAATCACTACATTTTTATATTGCCCTGGCTTTTTAGAAATCTTTACCTGAGACGGACTGGAAATACTGCACGGTCCAGGCAATCAACATGGACAGGAAGAAGGTTCCCAGGAAGTAGGTCTGCAAACATCCAAAGCACACGTCAGATGACCGACAAGGGGCTGGGACCATGAGGGCAGGGCTGGCTGAAGACGGTACCTACCAGGGCAGAGTGCAGGGCAGCACCCCAAATAAGCCGGAGGTGAAGGTAGAGCCAGGCCAGAGAGCAGGGGCTCAGGGACTCCTCACTACTGTGGCTCCAGCACCTGCAGACAAAAAGCACAGGGCATCTCGATGTGTCAGGGAACTTAGGTGGCATTGCTCATGACCGGCGTTCTCAGATCTTCAAAACCACCTCCTTCTGCTTGGGGACAAGCGGGCACATTTGAAATGAGAGACAAAGGAATAAAGCCAGTTCTAATGGGATGGCACCTACCCCCAAATTCTAGGATTCTGGCAGAAATCTCAGAAAAAGATCCGTCTTGTCCTTAATAAGAAGCGACCAGGTCAAGAAGGCCCCCGAAGCATGGGGGTTGCTAAGCAATCCTTATGTCCGTGTGTCTGCCCAAAGTCCAGATGTCGGAATGCCTCCCTATCTTGCAGAAAAGCATGGTCTAACAGGACATTTTTTCTTTTTTCCACTCTCCAGGAAAACCTTGGTCAACAGTTTAACTTCAGATTAAGCTCATTCTGTATCATAAGCCTCAAATACTGGAAAAAGGAAGTAAGTTTGGGTCCAGCTGAATGTTCTCTAATTGAAACAAATCCTTAGCCCTTTTTATAACAAGTGGCATTACAAAAGTAGGGCTAACTTTAACCAAGAAGCAAAAAACACCCATCTGGGTTCCACAATACTAAAGAGGCTCTGAACTTACCTTTCGTACAGTTCCTGGAGGATGGAGATGTTATTTGAATGGACAGTTGGGTCAATTTCCAAGAAATCCAAAATGTGATGTGGGATTATAGCACCTTCCTCAATTAGCAGGGCCAGGTTGAAGAAACCCTGAAAACAAGCCACAAAACCACCTCATTAACAACTCATAATAAAACCCAGACACATACCCTTCATCAGAATGTAAACTTTTACAACCTCTAGAGTTTTTTTTCAGTCTCTAGAGCCAGATGGTTTTGTCATCTTCATTGATGAATTGTTTCTCTAAATATATGCATCGAGAAATTTATTTGCAGGAGAACCAGGAGGCTTTCAGAGGATGCTGGGTCCCATCTGCTCAGAAGCCAGTCAACCGGGGGATCTGTCCTTTCCTGCTCACTCTCTCAAAACGGAACTTGCTGGAAAAAGTGCCTTCGTGTCATCGATAAGATCAGAACGCCGAGTTGAAGGCCATGTCCATCACTTACGACTGTGCCCTGGGTCACCATCAGCATGTCAGAAATCTAAAACGTTTTTGTGGCTGGGGATGGTACTCCTGACTGAAGTTCTAATACGCAGACTCTCTTATACACAGAATAACGGATGGGTGTTTGTCTCGGTTTTCTTAGGCCAGTGTGGGAAACCTCTCATGACTCCTCTTGGCACAGACCTCCATTCAAGCCTGTTTTCCTACCTCTTCCTTAGACACCTTGTTCTTGATCCTCAAAGGTAGGACCTGCCTTGTTGGGCTCTAAAGATCCAATAAAATAACAATTAAGAGCCTGATGGTGGAGGTGCTCCATCAAGCACAGAAACTATTGTACTACCTGCAGGAGATGTACAGTCCATCATGAGCTGAGCATGTGGCCAGACCAAGAAATAAACAAAAACTGATGTGTTGCTTACTATTAGGGCTTTACAAATTTCACTGGATTGTTGCCCTTCAAAGAATTTATGGTCATGTTTTAATGACTTATATCTTTCCTTCCACCTTCCTTTTCAGTTGCCACTGACAACGATCTAAATGAAAATCACCATCCCCCTGGGTTGTATACGCCAGGACTCTCAAAAGCATCCTATGCAATAATCACGATAAAAATAACAGCAGCTAACATGTTCTGAGTGCTTGCTCTATGTGAGGCACTGTTCTGTTCTACACATAGTCACTTAATACTTATAAGAACAAACTGAGATAGGCATCATTATCCTCCCCATTTTAGAGATGAAGAAATTGCGGTACAGAATGGTTAAAGAATTTGCCCAAGGTCACGCAGCTGGACAGGGGGCAGAGCTGTGCTCCAAACACAAGCAGACAGGGTGCAGAGTCTCCAGTCTTAACCTCTATCATGCTGTCCAATAACCGCTAAGTAGAGAAAAGTGTTAAGTATCTTTAAGATGCGCGCGCACACACAGAAAGTAGAATATTTCTCCACTCTTCGAAAGTAAGGCACTCTTAAAACTTGATGTATTAGAAGAAAAAAAAAATACTCTATAAAAATTTAGTCTTTAAAGAATAGAAAAATAACAAGATTAAAATAAATGGGAAAATAGGCTAGGGGAATATCTGTATGCAATGTAAGAGTTTAAGGTTCATTATCTACTGGGCAAATGTATAAGCAACTAATCATGATTTAAATTGAAAAAAAAAAGTATCAAAACTCCAATAGATAAACAGGCAAAGAATAAGAATAGAGAATTCATATAAAAAATACTAACAGTAGTTATCACAGAGAAATATATGTAAAAGGGTCCACCCCACTAATAATCAAATAAATGAAATTCAGGACGATCCAGAAGTTCAACTTAAAGTTATGCAATTAGCAAAATTAAGTCATGAAAACATCCAGTGTAGACAAGATTTCAGTTATCCTCCTACACTTAACCACTGCTTGGTGATGTATTAATTGGAAAACCTTTTCAGAAAACAATTGGGCAGTAAACTGTTACTAGGTAGCCATAAAACCATTTAGTAATACTATCCCTCAGATTATAAAGAAATTATTCAAATGGAGATAAAATATGAAAATATGAAAATGTTCATTGTAGCACTAGCTATAATTACAACACAATAGGAAATGACCTCATCTTCCTTAATAGACTGTAAGTCTCATAAAGACAAGAATATTGTCTATTTTTCAAAATCTTATGTCCCCACCTCTAAGCACTGTCCAAGACATGGCAGGACTGAATAAATATATGCTCAATCAATGAATAAATTAGCAAACAAACAAACAAAAAGTCCACCAATAAGATAAAGTTTAATAAATTACAGTCTCTCGGCTCAACAGAATATGGAGCAGCGGTTGAGAGTGATAATTAGAGAGAGACTGTGCAATAAAATTCACATATTTCTATAATATATTAAAAGAGTGGCATGTTGACTCTAAACATTACAGACACACTTGCCTGTGGCAGGAACTGGTAGGGAACATGAAAACATGAAGGAATAAAGTCTCTGCCACGGACTGTTCTTTTAAAATTACACTTTAATGTTTTTATAACATTATCTTTCCAAAAAATAAAATCAGATTTTAAAAAATGGTCCAGACCTAATTTTGAGTATCAACAGATATTGTCTAAGGGAGTTTGGCTCCATAGCAAGTCTTTCTAGCACCATTTCCTATTCCATTCCAGAAGAAATAATAATAGATCATGTCCATTGAGTCAGTGTTGGGCTCAGTGCTTCCCATCAAACATCTCATAAACTCTGAGGTCGGTACTGTTATTATTCCTAGTTCACAAACAAGAAAACGAAGACTCCATGATTTAGTGACTTGCCACGTACAAATCACTATGAAGTGAAAGAGACGTGAGATTTTAACCCAGGTAAAGAACCTCTCTGATGTAGTAACTCCTTAAAAAAAAATAAAATAAAATAAAATAAAAAGACTAAGAGAGGGACAAGTTTCCAATTTTTACTCTGTGATCAAATCCCAAAGCACAACACCAGAAACCCACTGCCTACGAGGATAATGACTATTCCAACTTCCATTGTGAAAATGACCCTGAGAACCTCACAGAACTCCAATTAGGAGATGCAGAAGGAATGAGGGAAACAGAGAATCATCATTAGCATACCACAATAACTGTCACAAGAGCTACCGAAGGATACTAAAATTAGTAGGCAGCAGTTTGAGGAGAAATGGGATATTTGCATAGTCACAGACTATCTCCCCAAGATATCTCGAAATCAGAAAAATATTAACTTTACAGGAGAGAAACCCAGCAGAAACCATCTTAACCAAATGACAGAGATCAACCTTGCCAGCGACAAGACGTCATGTACACCTCATATAATAACTTGAGGACACATCACTTCTGTGCTATCCTTGCCCCAAAGGCATCATCTCAATCTATTCATGAGAAAACAGAAGCCAGATCAAAATCAGGGGACATTCTACAAAATACTTGATAAATATTCTTTTACAGTACCAAGGTCATGAAAGACAAGGAAAGACTGAGGAACAGTCACAAACTGAAGAAGACTAAAGAAAAATGACAACTACATGCAATGTAGGATCCTGGAACAAAAAAGAACATTAGTAGAAAAACTAGTGAAATCCGAATAAGTCTGAAATGTACTTAATGGTAATGAACTGATATTGACTTCTTAGTTTGATAATGATATTGTGGTTATGAAAAATATCCACATTAGGAGAAGCTGGATGAAGAGAATACAGTAACTCTCTGTACTCTTTCTGTTACTTTTCTATAAATCTAAAAATATTCCAAAATAAAAAGTTTCAAAATAAAAGTCACTGAGAGCAAAGTCTTATCACTGAAGTGTTATTGGCCCAACTATACAAGCAAACTATTTCCCATCTTGACCATACTTTCAATTTCTTGAGTTCGTTTGATGAAATCTGGTAGAAAGACTTCTGAGCTTAGAACCAAAAGACCTAGGTTTAAGCTCTGGCTCCTTCATCTTCTACCTGATGGTTTGGCCTTGAGTCATGTATCACTTTATCATAGTCCTGGTACCCTCTACTATAAAATGGGTATAATAATCCCCACCCCCCAAGAGACTATCGTGAGATTGGTGTGAGAAACACAGTAGATGCTCAGTAAAGGGTAAACATTCATGGTTAGTGTCCTCACAGGGTCTTTGTGAGACTTGTGACAATGGATAAGAAATGACTTTGTAATCTGTGAAGCGTATGTAGACGGAGGGCTAGTGAGGACTCTATGCCTTATAACCTCACACACGGGCATCAGCGCATCAGCGACAACTCAATCTTTGTTGTTACCTGGGAGTCTCCATCCAGTGCTGCTTGGGCGTACATCTGCACAGACAACTCGAGGTCTTGCGACTGGTTTTGGTGGCCATAGTAGTAAAGGTCACCCATTTTCAAATATGCTGCAGGACAAAAAACGCAGGTCCATTTGTCAAGCGTTTTTTTTTTTTTTTTTTCCAGACTGACATTTTAACGGTTGGCCCATTCCCATGACTGAGAGTTTTTCCTACCAGAATCCAAATACAGAACACCTTTAGTTTTCTGTTTTGTTTTGTTGTTTTGTTTTGTTGGTGTGGCAGGAGTAAAAAAAAAAAAAAAAAGACTTGCTGAGGACCCACATTCCCAGACATGTTTTCTTGCTTTGCTTGGTAGCTCTCCTGAACGGGTCTGTTTGTGAGAATCACAGCCTGCAACCTCACAGCCCAATCAGTCAAAAACTGGGGAGGCACTTTATATCACATCAGAAATTTTACAGCCTGGGTTTGATGACTGATAGGTATTTCTTTATTCTATTTATTCTATTTTATTTTTCCTCTGAGGGAAAAGTTTTGTTCAATAGCGTATGTATCATTCAAGTATCCAATCAGAAAAACAGAATCCACGTCAGGCAGTTCAAAAGAGAGATTTCAGCACTGGAAGGGCATGCTAGGAAAAGCCGAAAAGGCAAATGGGGAACAACAGACAACCCAGACATCAGCAATGCAGGAAGCTACTACCATATCTGGGCTAAGGATCAGCTGAGACCATAGAGCAGGGACTTCCAGGCAGGAGCTGGGACCACGGAAATAGCAGCCACTGCCAGAGACTCAGGCGGGCCCAAAGCATAGAGAGAAACACCTGGGCTTTCCCCCTCCTGCCAGCCTTCAATGTCCTGTCAGGGTAGCCCAGTGGCTGAAACTAATCAGAAGCCCCAGAGCAAAGGAGTCTGGGAATTGTAGTTCCTGGCGGGTAGCCCCCTACCACATAGAACAGAGCACAGGAAGATAGGGAATACATGTGAGGGCGAAAAGGCAAACCACTGGCTCAGAGAATCTCCACGATAGCGTTCTCTTTTGAATTCTCACTGACCAGAGAAATGGTAGGTCCAAGCACACAATGGACAACGGACGAGGAGACATGCCTTGCAGGAGGCTGAGAATTGAGTTTGGTCATGATCTTAATAGCAGAGATTTTCACTGTCTTTCCTAATTGTTTAGCAACATCACACTTCACACAAAGCTGTTAGATGTTCCCTGTTACTAAAGATTAAAAGCCTCCAATGCTTCAATTGAGCACCTGTTTTTCTATACATACCAAACGAAGGCGCATCAATTTGGAAAACAGAGAAATTATAGTATCTCCAAACACAGTTAACACCCAAGTACCTCGCGGCCAGGTCCTAAGGAGGTGAAGGGGGAGAAAAAGTTAATTCATTCATATTTTGGCCAAGTGACTAATTTTGCCTCCCTAAAACCCAATTCATCATCCTTAACCTTAGAACATCTATTCTGAGAAGAATACATTTACTTACTGGCCTCTCCTCACAGATGTGGGCTAAATTTGTCTGTGACACTTCAATTCCAGTTTCTGCTGCTAAAACATAATACAGCAAAGCTTCGTGCCTAAAAATAGATGATTAATAATAAATTTCATATAGTAGCGTTTACTAATATTCACAGAGAGCTTGATGTTCAAACAGAAGGGCATGAAATAAGCAGTTTTTTTTTATTAAAACCACAAAGCCATGAGGTTTTTTTTTTTTTTTTTTAAATAAATACTGTTGTTAAAAATACTTACTGCATGCACTGATTTATTTTCTATCTTAAGGCTGAAGTGACAGATAAGGTTGGGAGCTAGTTGATACAACAGCTACCTCTACTGGCTGAATTGCAGGTCGAATACGAGGCTGGGTTGTCGATTAGCCTTCAGTCCTTGATTTCTTCCATCCTCACTTAAGAGGACATAGTGGTATTAAGAAAAACTCTCGTGCTTTTGAGTCCTGTTTTGTGAAAGGCTTTATGGAGCTTAGGATTCTGAAACGGGCTTAAAGTCGAGCTTTTGTGGTACATTAGAAGTTTGGCAAAGGAGAGGCAGTTTACCAGGGGCTTGAGAGCAATGGTCAGAAACACCCATGAAAAGATAAATGTTTGACACTACGATAATTAAAACGATGAGAGACCACTTCTCATCTGTTGACAGGTTGACACACGATTCATAACACGGATAATGGCCAGGACTTGGGGAAATGGACATATTCCTAAAACCACTGTTAGCGGTTAAGCTAATTAATGCAATGGCTCAATGTGGGAAGTCTTACAGTTGCACAGACCACTTGGGCCAACAGTTCTTCCCATGAAGGTTTATTCTAAAGAAACAATTAGAGACATGTGCAAAGATTCTGTGGCGAGAATTTATGGCAGAGCTGTTTAAAAGAATGGGGGAAAAAACTGGAAACAATTTAAATATTTGAAAATCAGTGACTAAATTAACCTACGGCGTAGCCACTTTCCAATGAGGCCATTAAAAACGTTGTGGCAGAAAGATGGCTATGCAAAATTTTTTACTCAGTGGAAAAAAATGGTAGTATAAAAACCAGTGCAATTCCATTTTCGTGAAACAAAAATAAATCTGCACACACACATGTCCACATACACACAGATACTTATACGTAGATAAAAAATAAAACCTAAAAATTATCTACCAAAATGCTAACAGTACTTATCTCTGGTGAGAATGCAAGTCATTTTTATTTTCTACTTTTGACTTATCTGATTTCCTCCGTTTTCTTTGTGTCACCCAGTTTATGAGTAAACATTTATTTTAACTATAAAAGGTTGTTTTGAAAGCTTATTTTTCATTTTAAGTAGTTGACATTAAGAACTCTTAATTTTAGCTCCATCTAGGAAGTGGTATAAGAGAAGGAGGGGGAAGGGTGGGTTAGAGGGAGTAAGGGAAGCAGATTCTGAAATCATCTTTTCTACACTGCTAAAGCTGCTTCTGGCAGACCATCCCTTAGGGACAGAGAGAGGTGACTAGGGAGTCAAATTAGGACAGCAGACTTTCAATCAGACATATTGCAGGTCATGGGCCACGTGGCTGCTGAGTGGGCTGATTCTTGGTCTCTGAGACACCCAAGGCAGCCGACCAATTAGCCATGACTCATCCTAAAGAGACACAAGGCTGGCTAAGCAGTGTCCCCTGGATAGGCAAGCCAGCTAACGAGACACAACTGCAGCCGCAAAACCACCACATAAGACGCCCAGACATTTTCTTACATGAACTGCAAAAATCATGTGTGGTGACAAGAATCCTCAGAGCAGATGGAGGGTATGAGAGGGAGGTACAGCAGAAAGTCCCTGTCATTCTGTAATATGATCCTGTTCCAAAAGTCTTATCATCTCAAGTGTCTTCGGAGTCAGTCAGGCTTACATCAATGTCTGTTTCCCTCAGGGACGAATGAGGGATGGTGTATACTTCTCAGTCCAAGGTCAAATATCAAGCTGGCTCCCCCTGCTGCCATAACCGGATAGAATGTGACTCATGTTATTAAAATGTAACAAAATTGAGTTTTTCTTAGACAGCAATAAGACAGACTATTAGGATTTGGGCAGGGAGGGCACAAGGTTGACACTCCCTGTAAAACGATCACTATGATAAATTTTATAAAGCAAAATCTTATCTCTAAAGTTAGTTTGATGGTGGTGGAGAGAAGGGAGAAACAAGTTCCTAGGAAGACTTCCACCGCCCAATTACTGTATTGGAAATTTCATAGAAGCCTCAAGCATTTCCTTTGAGGAAGCACTGTAATCCATCAAAAAGATGTCTACAAACATTGATGTCAATGAGGTACTGAACAGAAATGCACCTCTGTCTTCCAGCTTGCAGAAGCAATGTTCAGAGGCCAGGGTATGCCGATTCCACCACCACTCATTTTCACATAGCAAAGAGTGAACTGTAGGCGAAGGTCAGAACACTGAAGACCAGACTTTCTCAGCTTATTAAGACTTCTGAGACACACCGCCTCTGTAGAAACCCTATCCGCATTTGCTCTCCCTCCCAGGGCTTGGCTCTTACTTAGCTGTGTTTCAACAGAAATTGCCTGAAAGCATTAATTATAGGTATTTCTATGCTCATATTCATGAAACAAAACATTTCCTCAACATTTGCTGTTGCAGGCAGCCCAAAGACGAGCCACAAAACTGTGCTGCCTTTCCTGAAATTTCCTCAAGGTTTAGGAAGCCAACCAGAGCTTCAAGTTTCATTTCCAATGCACTAAAGTGAAATTGTCCCCAAGACAGTCATTCTGATGGCGGTGGGGCGGGGTGGATGCAGAGAGGAGGAAATACAAAGAATGAAGTTAGGGGCACATTTGCTATTCCCCCACTTCGAAGATGGCACATATATTTATAGAACTTTAATGATGCTTCTTAATAATCAATTCTCAGGCTGCTGGCTGCAAATTGTGAATCTGACTACCTCTGAGCAGGTTCTCACACAATTATATTATTTTCTCTGTGCTCTTTTCTGCCAATGCCTGAAGCAGCTCAAACTGGAAGGATGAATAGCAATCCCGGAGTGGGATTCAGGACCCCTGCTCTGTTGCAAAAAGGTGAATCTCTTTCGGCTGGAACTTGGCATGCCTGCTTGTCTTGCCTCAAGCCCACCATAATTGGGCTAACCTCCTGGGTTAAGTATTTGGGTGTATTAAAGACAAAGAACAATAAAAACGTGTGGTTCACAGATAAAACACATGTATGGGTGAGTCAGGGAGAAATGAAACATGACAGATGGACTCTTCTTAGCTGACTTTTCTGGTGTCCGAGGACAGCCTCAGGCATGACAATATTATCTTCTGCATTATGCCTGGACAGCAAAAAGCCCTTTTCTCAATTATGCTTCTCTTTTACGCTATCCCATATAAATCTTGGAACAACACAGAAAAGCACAGGCTCATCAAACTGACACATGTAATTTGAAAATAATGTCCAGAATAAATTCACTTGCAGAAAATGTAAAGAGGGGATGGACTTGGGACATTGATAGATGATTTAGTTCTGTTACGGCAAAATAAATGGTGCCCAAAAAAGTCACATTGTGGGGAAGCCACACTCAAGTATTTTCTGTTTCATCCCTGGGACAAGTATAGGGGCTTGGAGAGAAGAAAGAGATAGAAGAACTTTGCCTCAAGTATATTTTGACAAAGATTCTCCCATTGTAATGGGTACTAGATGTTTCTTTCTGTTGATACGAAGAAAAGCCTCAAATTCAGATTGAGACTTATCTGTAACAAAACTTAGCATCAGCATCAAGATTGGCAAGGATGTAGAGAAACAGAAATTTATAGATGGTTGGCAGGAGAATAAATTGATACCATCATTTTGGGAAGCAATTGGCATTGTAAACTCCAACATGTGCCTACCCTGTGACACTGCTCTTAAGTTTATATTTTAGAAAAAACTCTTCCTCTGTATGTCATGAAATACATAAAAAAATGTTCATGGCCACATTGCCCTTAAAAACAAAAAAATGGAAAATAACCCAAATATGTGTTAGTATGAGAACCAGTAAGTAAATTGTGGTATATGACAGGGGCAAAAATGAATGACCTACAGGAACATGCATCAAAATATATAAATCTCAGAAACATAATGTTTATTTTAAAAAAGCAGTTGAAGAATCATATAATAACATTCTAATAATATAAAGCTCAGAAACAAGACAAACTAAATCTATTGCTTAGATAGATTAATATATTCACATACATCAAAAACTGTAAAGAAAGCACGATTCAGGATGAGAGTTACTTCTGGGTACGGGGGGCGGAGTTGGGTTTAATCTGGGAGGGACATGCAAGGGGCTTTCAGAGTTCATTTTCTTCAGTAGGGTGGTAGGTTTATGGGTGTTTGTTTGACTGTTATGCTTTGGAACCTACATATATATCATATTATTTCACATGTATCAACTGTCGTATGACAAAAGAACAGACAAACAACTTAAATGATTCATGCCGCTTCTCTATCTCAAACGCTCTGCTCCTTTTGCCTGGATTCTTAACTCACTACCTCCCCTGCCCCTTCGGGCTCCCCCTTCTCTTCATGATCATTCACAGTCGTTCGGTTAAGCATCTCACGACCCAGCTCCGTCACGTAACCACCCTCTCTCAAAACTATTGCTGGCTCCCTGCTACTCCACAAATTAAGTAAAAAGTGTACGACCTGCCATTCAAAAGTCCATAAAGCATACCTCTTTGGTCTTGATTTTTTCACTCTCTTTTACCAATCTTACCCTAAAGGTAAACTGGTAGCTTAATTTTCTAGACACTCCCAGAATTTTCCTATCTCTTTGCTTTTGTTCTTGTGATTCCCTTCACCAGAAACGCGGTTCCCTGAATGGCTAAGTGGACATTCCACCCACCCCTCAAGGCCATATCATCTGCCACCTCCATTATAAAGGGTGGCCTAAGTCCCCCAAACCAAATAGCATCTCTCCTCCTCGGAATTGCTGATGCTCTTCATACACTGTTCACAGTGCTTAGGTTATATTTGTTCCATCTATTTGGCTTAATTCATTCACTCGGTAGTTTTTGAGCACTTTCCAGGTGCCACTAGGTATTAAGCACTGGAATACAAATCACAGAGCAATCAACAAGTAAAAAGCAATCATGATCCATGGAAGGAACAAAGGGAGTAAAGAGTCAGCCAGGACTTCTGGGCATAATGAACAGCAAGTGCAAAGGCCCAGAGGTCAGACAGAACATGGGCCTTGTGAGAAGCTGCAGGCAGTTCAGCGTGAAGGAGACTAAGCAGAAAACTTCCCCAAGCCCTACTCATGGCGCCCCCTGCAGCGTATGGCGAGGTGCCTGCATGTAAGAGCACTCAGCAAAATACGCTGAACTGAACCCAAATTCACAGTGTAGAACACACTTAATTCCCCCATCCCCCCAAAAATCAATCTCTTGTGGCTGAATATTCTACGGAAGACAGCAGGCCACAAAAATCTTAATTCACCTTGACCTTCACAGCAAATTTTTAAATGTCAAAGTGCTTTGTGGTGTTAAATTCAAAAGTAGGCAAGAAAGCTAAGCTACTAAGAGGTACTCTCTTTATGGAAAAAAATGTTAGACATCTCGGGGTGTGTATGTGTGTGTGCATGTGTGTGTGCGTGTGTGTGTGTACTGGGGGTGTTTACAGATGTGCTCTCCCTTTGGGAAAACCCCATATAAAAACATTTTGACATCTGAATGCGTAGTTCCCCTCTAAGAAGCTTATGGAGAGCAAAGGGTGGGAAGTTCGGAGGATGAGGGCAGAGAATGAGTTAAAGTCAAATTTGGGAGTTTTATGAACTGAAGCTCATTTGGGAAACAAGACAAAACAGCACAAAAATTGTAAGGCATATCAACTGGAAAATAATAATTTCATTAAAAATTTCTTTCCTATCATGCAAAGTGAAGCCACAGATTAACTTTCACAGGATGATGATAATAAACGTTTTTATTTGGTGCTTTTTTCATTGGGCTCATTTCCCCTGCATTATCTAACTTAAAAATCTCCATCACTGAGATGCTGTCTGTTGATTACACAGGCACCCATGGACCAAAGGAGAAAATGGTGTTCTTTTGGACTTATGTTTTAATTTTTAATTAAGGTTCAAATAAAAATATGATTGATGATAAGTCTGATCTAATGTCTTTGAGGCAGTAGACCAATGGGATATGTGCTGATTTGCATAGCCTTTTTAGTTACTGCTGAAATACCCAGATCATTTAGGCAATAAACCAGCCAAGAAAATGTAGCCCAAGGGAAAAGTAAGATGGAATGCTAGGACTGGCAGAAGAAAATAAGATGATGAAGTCAGGTAGAGTTTAGAGAAATGTGCCCTTATTTGTAAAATCAAGTAACAGCAAATGGAGGAACTGGAAGTCTTCACATACGATGGGTACCACAGGGTGTTTGTTCTTCATCCCAGCAAGTACAGGATGAGGTTTGCTAGCATCATCAGAAAAAGGGTGAGAAAGGGGAGTCTGACTGGTTGTGACGTTAGAGATTTCGTGAGGGACTTCCAGCAACCCCAGGTGCCTGGCCACGGAAGATACAGCAAAATGTCTATGAAAGGATGCAGCCTGAACCCTAAACACACTGCTTTCCTTTCTTCCCATGAACAAGGTGGAAATCTTGGGCCTTCTGTGGCCTGCTAGTGAGAGGCAGAGGGTGAGCCAGGATCCCCAGTGCTGTCTCCAGACTCTGACACCAAGAGAAACAAGCTTGAAGGGAAGTCAACACATTCACATGTCTCTCAACTTGATGAATGTGGATGCTCCCCCTAGAGAACTAATTTTTGTGTATAATTAAACATGGAAATGCTATGTTTTCCAATCAACAGCCAATCAGTCTGTGATACTCTGAATAGTATTACTGAGAGGCCGTGATTTCTCTGCAAATTGCTTTCTTGGTTGCATTTTAAGATTCCATCTCCTAAGACTACAGTGACAGATTGAAAGGTCAGGGCCAAGAGAGTTCACGGCAACGTGGGTCCCGAGCTTACCATGAGCCCTCTAGGTAGGCGTTGAGACCTCTGCGAATGACGTGGCCCAAGTAGCCATTTTTCTCAGCTACGTGCTTTGCCCATCTGAAAAGGAAAGAGAAGAGAAAATATCCGAACTGTGGCAAATTAAATAATTGCTTTTTTCTTCATATGATCTCAATAAATCCCACTTGGGGAATATTTTCCTTGTTCGAATTTTTATAAAGCAACAAACCAGAACTGAATGTTAAGAAGGTAAAGAAAGATGCATTTTGAGAGCTTTGCGTTCAGTGCTCTTTCTTATGAATGCTAAGGAGGTGTCATTTATGGAAATAAACACATGAAATTTTCCTCATGAAAAATATCCACCAATATGGAAAAAGATCATCTTTACCAATCGTTCTAGTATTCTCTCCATTAAAATATGTTTACCGATTTATTATAAGGTCTCCCTGTTTTGTTCCTGTTTATCTTGGAGTTTATTGATAATGAACTAGTCTGTTATAATCTTTAGATTTATGATGACTAAAAGGATAGATATTACAAGAATACATAACTAGCTTGTTAGTTAGGTATATTATAGAATAATGTTTATAAATACTTGATTAACACAAAGGAAAGGGAAGAAAAGAGAAAAAGGGCACAAAAATAGGTGGGACAAATAGGGAATAATTAGTAAAATGGTAGATTTAAAACCAAATATATACATAATTACCTTACATAATTAGGTGGGCTAAATACTAAAATTGTCAGACTTAATAAAAAATACACAAAAAAACAATTATATGCTGCTTATAAGAGACACACCAAAAAATAAGGACAGAGAAAGACTGAAAGTAAAAAGATAGAAAAAGACAGAACATGCCAGTTCTAATTTAAAAAAGCAGGTATAACTGCTAACATTAAAAATAAGAGACTTTAAGGCAAGGTCCATCAACATGGATAAAGAGGACATCGTAACATGATAAAGGGATCAACCGGGAAGGCAAAACAATTCTCAATCTCTATGACCCAACAAATAACATGATTCAAAATACATAGTGCAGAATTGACAACTGATAGAGATAGGTAAGTATAGATTCATAGTGGGAGATTCCAACTTCTTTCAATAACTGATGTAACAAGCAGAAAAAAAAACATCAGAAAGCTTATAGAAGATCTGGCTAACATAATTAATCAACTTGACGTAATTGATCATATATGTAGAACATTGTGTGCCCAACGAATTCAGAAAATACATTCTTTGCAAGAGACCATAAAGCATATATCAAAATTGACCATATGCTGCTCATAAAGCAAGCCTTCACACATTTCAAAGGACTGACATCGTTCAGAATATATTCTCTGATCACAGAGTAATTAATCTAGAAATCAACGAGAGAAGGATAACAAGAAAACCCATGAAATATATGAATGTTCACACGAAATATCCTAATTAACAATGATAAAAAGCCTCAAGTTTCATTACTGAGATAAGTTTCATGACTGGGTTCAGATCAAGTTGGATTTGCTCTTGAATGTCATGAAAAACACCTTTTGGGGAGCCAGGCTAAGTGTGAGGTTGGTCTAAAGCAGAGGTCTGCAAACTTTTTTTCTATAAAGGGCAAGATAGTAAATATTTTAAGTCTTGAGGGCCACACATGGTCTCTGTTGCATACTCCTCTTTGTTTGTCTGCTTGTTTGTTTTACAACCCTTTAAAAATGAAGGAAGCATTCTTAGTTCTCGGAGCCATACAAAACAGATGGCAGGCCACATGTTATTTGTGGGCCATAGCTTGCCAACCCCCGTGAAACATTATCAGATATGTGTGACTTGGAAAATGTGCCTCCTGTTCACTGTACTTCAGGTAGCTACTATAGGATATGATCTACCAAAATGTAGGAGTAAACCAGACAGAGGAAGAAAGAGGGTCCAGCAAGGAGGACCAAAAGACACAGAGATGAAGGGATAGAGGACTCCCCAAATGATGACAAAGTTAAGTACAGGAGGGCATCTCTGTCCTGAACGAAGACTCCCGGAGAGACAACACCAAGAAGATTAAATTAATAGAATACCTAGTGGGTCCGGACATACTGAGAAGAGATTTAGACAACTGTAGGAGAATTTGAAGATCAGGTACATAGAAAATGGTAAGAACACAGAAAGCTATGCAACTAAAGAACAATAAAATATAATGATTTCACATCAAACACAAAGTTACATAAGAGATAAAAAGTAGTCATGGTAGTCACATGGCTCAAGTGATAATAATGGTCATAATAATGTAAATTCTTGATGCTGAGCTAATTAAAATAATGATATACTCATTGGGAAGATGAGAGAGGGCAGGAAGTGTGAATCTGGGGTAGCAGGAGGTGGCAGAGTGAAAGAAATCTATATCGTTCTCAGTGGGACATCATTAGACAAGGCCTATGAAAATATCAAGAAATAATGGTGTAAGTATATTATTTAGTGACAGAGGCAAATCAAAAAGAAATAAGAAGTTGAAAGTAATTTATTTTGGGGAGCAGAAAATAGAGTCTGGGGTGGAATAGCCAGAGGTTTCCTGTTTTTTTGTTTTTTTTTTCTTATCAAGTTAAGTTCAATTTGTAATTAAATTTTTGTTTTTATTTTTGTTTTGTTAAATTATTTGGCTCTTTAAACTTTGTGAACTATATCAGTTTTTAAACTTATAAAAAATAAAAATGAAATTTAAAAAGTACATAAAAAAAGAACTTCGTTTTCTCAGGCATGATGACTGTAGCACAGTAATCCCCCTTATCCGCGGTTTCATTTTCTGAGGTTTCAGTTACCCACGGTCAACTGTGGTCCAAAAATATTAAGGAAAAAATTCCAGAATTCACAATATCTCAGTTTTAAATTGTGTGCCATTCTGAGCCGTGTGATGAAATCGCGTGTCATCCTGCTCTGTCCCGCGTGGGACGTGAACCCTCCCTTTGGGCAGGGCCTCCACTCTGTAGAGCTCCCCACCCGTCAGTCACTCAGCAGCGGTCTCAGTTATCAGATCGCCTGTCATGGTATCCCAGTGCTCGTGTTCAAGTAACTCTAATTTCACTTACACATGGCCCCCAAATGCAAGAGTAGTGATGCTGGCAATTTGGATGTGCCCAAGAGAAGCCATAATGTGCTTCCTTTAAGTGTAAAGGTGTGTATATATAGGAAAAAACACAGTATATGTGAAGTCCAGGACTCCCCGCGGCTTCAGGCATCCACTGGGGGTCTTAGAATGTATCCTTGAGGATAACAGGGACCACTGCGGATGGCTTTCTCTTCATACACAACATCTGACAGATGCTTACACAACGGCCTTCTCGGGGTCTCTAGGGAACGTCTCCAGGTTGCCTGTTACGTAGTAGAGAGAACACCACAGGGTTCCTTCCATGTGTCCACCTTGTGCAGCCTTATGGAAATATTCACCAGCTAAAGTCTGTGCAGAAAGATGAACAAACATCATTCTCCTTAGCGAGGGATCCTCCTGGCTGGGCTGGTTTCACCAGAGCCAAGGTGGGATGAGGTACTTAACGCCTGATATCATCACAGGCTTATAACTTCTGATATCTTTAAGAAAACCAAGTCAAGTTCCAGGAAGATAGCCAATCACAGAAGCCAGCCTCTGGATGTGATAACCTCGACTACAGCTATTGTGTTGATTAGGTTGACACAACAAATAAGACAACATGTAACTACAAATATCATTGTCACCTCATTTGATCCTCATATAACCTTTGCCAGCAAGATACAAGCCTGTGTCAGAAGTCACACCAAGTGAAAATTCAGACATTTGCTTTCTAAACCTTGCTTAAGACCCTTCCTCAAACTCTTGCACAAAAAATGCATTTCCCGTAGGAAGGTGAGAATTAAAAAATGACAGTAAAAAGAAGTCCACTCTCCCAGATGTGTGGGAGGAATTTTGCAATGCATAAAAATATACAGCCTTACATGTAATCAGAGAGGGATAGAGGGGAACAAAATAAACCACTTAGATGGGGATACATTCTACTGATTACTATTATTTTTCCGAGGCATTTCAAGTTAACGGATGATTTTAAGCATGGGCTTTGGAGTCAGACAGGCTTGGGTTCAAATCCCAGCTCTGCTCCTTACCAGCTGTGTGACTTTGGGCATGTTAGTTATTCTCCCAACTGAGAGATTAACTTGATTTTTTCAACTGAAAAAAATGTGGTGTCAGATAGTACCTAATATGAAAAGTTGTCGTGAGGATTAAATGAGGAAACTTATTCTCGAGGCTTAGTGTGGTGCTTCACAAAAAAGAATCTTCCGATTCTCCACCCTCAGATCCGCTGCTGCCAAGGTCTTGCCCATTCCACTAACTGTCCCCTCTACTCTTCCCATCTCGATAAATGCCAAATGCTTCGGAGTTATCCTGACTCCTCTCCCCACTCACACCTCACATCATCCAATCTTCAGCAAATCCTGTCACATTGACCTTCAAAACGTATCCAGAATCCAGTCACATCTTAGCCCTTCTTCTGAAACTGCCCATCCTATCTCACTTGGATTCAGTGCATTAACCCCTGCTCCCACTCTTGTCTCCTTCAAGCCCAGTCTCTGCTACTATCCACGAGGAGCCTTTTAAAACATAGCCTATCCCGCCCTGCCAAAGCTGCAAGGTATTTTCCCATCTTGCTTGGAGCAGCTGAGTTGTCACAATGCCCTGGGCACCTGCCTCCCTGAAGTTAACTCCTTCTCCTAGTACTTCTGCTTCCTGTTCCTGCTACTCCAGCCTCCCTGCTGTTCCTCAAGCTTCTTTTCGGGGCTTTTACCTTGGCCGGTCCCTCTTTCTGGAATGTTCTCCCAGATATCTGCAAGACTCCTTTAAAAGTCTGTATAATGTCACATTATTAGAGACGTTCTCTGAGCTCCTTTAAAAAGAACATTCCCCAATCTCCACCCTCCCTGTCCGCCTCATGCTTTATTTCTCCCCATAACACCCTCATATTATATGCTGAATAGTTTATTGTCTTTCTCTCCCATTGGAATGTAAATTTCCCAAGAGCAGATAGTGTTTTGTCTGCAGCCATATGCTCAGTGCCTGGCATAGGACAGGCATTCAATGACTTGTTAAATGTAATGGTGCTTGCATTGTTATTATCATCATCAATATTATTATTAATAACAAGAAGCTTCCATTTCACATGAAAAGCCAGGTGCTCACTCCACGAAGGGTATGACCCCAAGTAAGCTACATAATCTTTCAGAGCCTCGGTTGCTTATTCAGTAAAGTGGACGTGATAAATAATAACTATTCCAGCGGGTAGTTGGGGTGACATGGGACAGCACATGTAAAGCATTTGTGAGTGTCGAGCATAGCAGAAACACTCAAGAAACTCTAAAGATTATCGCTGTTGTTTTCATTATTATTAAATCTCTTCTCACATCAGATCACCCTGTCTGAACCCAGCTCTCTTTGCTTCCAGTAAGATTGATCTCTGCACCATCTCTCGGTCTCTCGCTCATTCTCACCTGGTATCGTCTCCCTCTCCCTCCCCAGTTCAAGCGCCCCTCCTCCATGAAGCCTGCCTGACTGCGCTGGCCTTTAGCATCTCCCCTTTCCAGAACTGTTTGAGTCATACCAATTAGCATACGCTTGGCACTTGGCTAAATACCATCCTTTGCTTTTCACTATCTTATCTGCCTGACTGGACTCTAGTTCTTTGAGGACGGGGTAGTGCTGGTACCACCCACGGGGCCTCATCCGGACCAGGTACACAGTTCACCTTCACAAAGTCTTCATGATGGAGTAACCGACCAGCTGCCCAGCTGGTCTCGTCCTACTCACTTGATTCCTTCCAGGAGCTCCTGGGAAAATGCCATCCAGATACAGGACCCCAAGATTGTATGATGCATCTGGGTTCCCCATTTCCTCTGCTTTTAACCAGTACTTTGCCGCTTTCGCATAATTCTTCTTGAATTTGTGGTAATACCATCCCAGACCGTTGACTGCCTGATGCAACCCCTGGATTTTAGAACAAGAAAGAAATTACTATTAAAAAAAAAAAAAATGAAACCTGAAGAGAATCAATTGTTGTATAAGCATTCTGCCTGAATCTGAGCAAAACATTTGCTGTCTCTTTTCTTAGGGCAGATGGCATTAAAGAAAAGCTAAGTGCTACAGATCCAGCCTCAGAACCTTCCCAGGTGGATTTCACGCGGCTGCTGCCAGGATTCCTGCTTCCAGCTCAGCGGCAATGCTGGCCCCCGAATCATCACTCGGATCCTCTGGGCTCTACGTGACGCCCTTGTCTACAAAAGGCCTCTAACTGCAGCATCGACAGCGCCCTTGAAATCCACGAGCATGCCACTGCGACAGGAAGCCTGGAACCTGCATGGGCAGGGATGGTTTCTCGGTGACCTGTCTGCCCATCTGTTGATCACTCTGCCCTGAACACCAGCAAACCCTCAGAAGGAAGCAGCTGCAACATCCTACTTGCAGAGCACAGGTGCTTTGTGACTGCTTAGCCTCATGCTTTGGGGGCGAGGCAGCAGGGGAAGATGGTGGAGAAGGGAGGAGGGTTTCAGAACTGTTTCTGAACCTGGGGCTGGTAGCGGGGAAGGGCTGGTTCCTATGATTCTAGTCTCAAACTTCCTTGTTCTTGCTGACTCACGCTCTCAGGTGGCCTCTTCTGCTTTCCCCAGGTGCTCCCCGCCTGCTTCCACTGGCAGCCTCCAGCCTGGTTGCTGAAGGCTCAGGTGCCCTGCACAGATGTGTGTGCAAACCTGGGCATTCAGTGCTCTCATCCCTCTCTTCCTGCCAGACCCAAAGGACCATGAACAAGCAGGGGGAATAGGATTCGAGGGGAAAACAGTGCCCTTGCATCTGTGAGACTTGTTAAGTTAGAGTCCAAGTGCGGAACCAAGTCTCTGTCACCTCCCCCTTCTCAAGTGAAGACCACGTATCCCTTAAAAAAAGATGCCAAGATCCCAGCCTGCAGCCTGTTTTGGTCTGCGTGGCTCCTAAAGGGTTCCGCCACCCAGACCTGATGCTGGAATCCAGGTGTCAGGAGGACCAGGGGAAAGAGACTCACAAAGCCCATTAGAATAGAAGCTCCATCAGAGCAGGGGGCTTTGTTTTGTATCCCAAGCACCTATATTAATGTTTGCATAGAGTAAGGGCTCAGCAAATATTTGATAAATGAATGAAAGCCACGCTTGAATGCAGATGCTTGACAAAATGGAACCCAAATCCTACACCCCGAGGATCCATAGTAGGGTTCAGATTTTCAGGCCCCCAAGAAAGCTGACACTTGGGAAAGGGTCAGTGCCGTGAATGCAGTCATAGAGGCATTCTTCTTGAGCCTTGCATGGTCCCAGGCTCCTGATTGGTCTTGCAGAATGAGCGCATTTCGATGACGTAATAGATCAGGCCATACTATAATGAGGCAAGAGCCAGCCCTGGAACAAGTCTACAGAATGGACATATCCAAAGCCCTGCTTTGGCAGGGCTTACCTCCAGAGGCCATTGGCTTATGCAAACGTACCTGTCACTGCTCAAAACATCCACAGAACTTTTTTAGCAACTGTATTTGGACTCAGTTCAGGAACCTCATAAGAAATCTTGTTTTTTTTCCTTAATATTCATCTTTTATTCTGGACATTTACAGCTCAGTTAACAGATTTGCCTTCAAGTGACTTCTGGCTAATTCCAAAAATCAAACTATGTGCACCCTTCCCCACAGTGACCAACAAGGAATAGGGGCTTCGCAGCTCCTTGCAGAATGAATGAGAATCATATAACACTTTCAAAGATGTGACTACTCCAGGCATAAAACTGCATTTCCCTCAATACTCATCTAAGCTCCTCTAACAATACATGCAAAATAAAGTACCTTAGACACCAGTTCACCACCAGAATGGCTAAAGAGATGCAAATTTCACACCTGCCAGGAAACCCCACCACTGCCTCATTTTAGGGTACTCTGGAACCAATCTCTTCAATGACCAACATTAAGCTGCTTATCTATTTCTGCCTATAACTTGTGTTGGGGTCAGGAGCTGGTGGGCAGTTCCGTGGGTTCCCTTTTCCTGAGTCATATGCCCTCTTGATGCCACGTAGGTGGAGGAACAACACCTCTTGGCTCTCTCACTCCACGCTCCCTAAAGAAGGGGAATGAGGAAGACCAGCCTGGTCACTTAGGAGTCTTCATGAGAGGGCAAACATTAGTAGCCTTGGGGACAGAGGACTATGCAAGAGCCAGAAGGGCCATACAGGGCCTGCTAGTGTTGTGAAATGACAATGGTTTCTATAACTCTGTTTATTTGTAAGTTTGTATGTGTGTGCGTGAGTGTGCATGTGTGGGTGTTCATGCATTGGGCATGTGTTTGCATGCAGGGATGCATATGCACGTGTTTGTGTGTGTGCCCCTTCACAAGTGACATAACTTCTGTAGTGCTATTTTGAAACTAGCTGATTTGAAGATAACATTGAAGAGTAAACATTGACAAAAACAAAATAATTCCTATACTCGGCAATAAACTTAATAAATAGCTCCATTCATCAAGTGAGGAGAAGCAAGTGGGCGTTGGATGTGAGAGGGTTAACCTTCAAAGGAATTAGGCTTTAGATTTTCCTAATTCAATAGCATTTATATCCATTCACTTTCAAGGAGCCCCCGCTGCTTGTTATCAGGGCAGCCCTGATTATAATTTCAGCCTTCCAACAAAATTGGCCCGAATTCTATTGACTGAAGGTGAACTCAGCTTTTGAATTTTGCTGTCTGCATTGTGGCAGGTTTCTGCATGTGTGTAGCTCAAAAATGACTAATGCTGCAATGCTGGGGACCCCTCCCTCCCCACTCCAGGCTTCGTAGGGAGACACTGGCCATTTACTCTCTAGACTCGTGAGAGTGGGCATGTGTGGAGTAAATATTCCCCTCCACAATATGCAAAAATGTTACCTTGGAAGCTGCTTTCTTCATCAGCTCTAAGGCAAGCCTTCTGTTCTTTTTTACTCCTTGACCCTAAACAATAATAAATAGCAATGATTACGAAGAAAATAAACCCAGCATGTGCTCAAAAACAGGACACAGATACATCAGTATTCATTATAAAATATTTGAAAATAAAACCTAAGCCTTCTTAATTAAAAACCTAATCTTAAAGATTTCTATAAGCAGTGCTGTTATATTATCATTATCATAATCATTATTATTTTGCATATTTTGCGGAGCAGAGGCAACAAACCTCAGCCTCCCAGCTTAGCATCCTTACAAAAGTTCCCAAGGGACTCGAGTTTTAAACCAAGTGACTTGCATTCTTGTCAATCCATAGGTGCTGCTGGGAGGAGTCGTGAGTAGGGTTAAGTGAGTTTGGTCATTCTGGATGCATTCCTCTGGGGGGTTATCTAATTTTCTAGCCAGATCAAGCACTTTATCTGTGTCAGAAAGTCAAGAGTTGTTAGGCTGTCGTTTGCAGCCTTCCTTGGTCCTCATTGGAGTCCCTGGGGTGGAACACTGCAGCTTCAGAACTGACTGGAGCAGCGGTCCCAACCTTTTTGGCACCAGTGTTCCTGTAAGACTCTAACGCCTGATGATCTGAGGTGGAGCTGAGGCGGTGATGCTAGCTCTGGCGACTGGCTGCAAATACAGATGAAGCTTAGCTCATTTACCAGCTGCTCACTTCCTACTGTGCGGCCTGGTTCCTAACAAGCTATGGATGGTACTGGTCCATGGCCCAGGGGTTGGGGACCCCTGGACTAGGGAACCAGCTCTGAAGGAGATAGGACTCTTTGTAATCAGTTTGTGTCAGATGCTGAGAAAAACTGACAAGGTTCCTCCAGCAAAATCAAGTTTTTCCGGCAGAGGTGGTTTGTGTACCACGGAGAAAAAACGGCTTTGGGGTTTTTGTTACAAGAGAGAAATTCTGTGGGAGACACCGCAGGACCATGTGGGGAAATGGTGGGTCTGAGAGTGGGGTGGGAGGGGTCCCTTGAAGTCTCTCGACTGAGTCTGACAATGAAGATGGCAGGCAAGGGAAGCTGGAAACTGCTACTGCTCTCAAGCTCACTCGGAGTCTGTTATGGATGCACACCCCCCACGTGCCCCACAGGGTCCTCTTGGCCTCAGACACAGTGGTTGATGAGGTCACGTCTTCCGTAATGTGAGAGAGCTTTTGTAATGAATCCAGCTTTTAACTCTAATTAAATATTAGCTCTATAGTAAATGAAGACGGCACTAGTAAATATTCCTGTGTTAATTAACATGGGGTGAGCCCTGTCCTTCACATTTAATCCTCACGGCAACCCTGGCCGAAGTGCTGTTGTCATTCCCATCTGAAACACTTGCCCAGAGTCACCCAGTGAATGAGAAGCAGAGGCAGGATTTGAACCCAGGCAGGTGGCCTCCAGAGCCCAAGCTTATAACCACCATACTAGATTTTCCCCTGTACATTTCAGGTCTATGTTGAGAAAGTATAATGATTCATAATCGCCTTACAGGATACAGAAAACGCGCAAGATGTGTTCCTCTCTATATTTTTCAGGACCCAAAATAAAATCGTGAATCCAGCTAAAGGTTAAATTACATACCAAGTTTCTATTAGGCTTTAACTTACCAATTTAATAAAAGCGATGAGCTGAAGCAAAGTGGAAGATGAAAATATTTATCAGAGGTGCACCATTACTTCATTTAATTAGAGGGGGAAAGAGAAAAGGACATGAGGCTACTTGGAATAACTGGATGAGGCCACGGGACAGACTTGTTGGACCTCCGGGAAAGCACCAGAATCACAGAATGCTAGAACCTGGTTGAACTGCAAGTTTATGTTCTCCAAGTTCTTTGTTTTGAAGGAATAAAATTGTGGCTCGGAGAAGTTGGCTTATACGACACCTCGCATACTCTGATTTCCAGGCCACGGAGTTTTCAGTATATTTGTTATCGAATCAGAAGTGGGATAATTTCTTGCACAAAGACTATGCCCATTGCACAAATCTGAGTAGTACTGGAGGTTGTCGAGAGAACTGTGAAGTCCTGGTACACAGCGAGTGCTCAGTAATATCCACCAGAGGAATTCATGGACGACAGTTGCTGCAGTCGAAGTCAAAGCTCCATCCCCAGGTGGATATAGAATGGGATGGACTTGGCTGTCCTGGACAAGCCACAGACACCACTGTGTGTCTTTGAATACAATAAGCAGAACGCCCACATGACACAGTAAGCCAAGAGCGTGTTCCTGTTCTTCGCACTTGGAGAGTCTATTTTCTGCATGGGGTTCTTTCACGTGGAACGCATTTAAAGAGACCTTTTGGCCAGAGGTAACGATGTTCCTTGAGATGAGAGCGTCCTTCATCCCACTCAAGGATAATTTAGTTAGAATGCAGGAAAACCAAAAAAGCTTTAAGATTTGGGAAGTCAGACCCTGAGGAAATGTTACGTTACCTCCAGAATAATTTCTTTATGTGCCTGCCTCTCCCTCTAGTTTGGGAGTTCCTGGGGGGTAGAAGTAAAGTCTGAATTATGCCTTTATCTTCTCTGCAGTTGGGCAGAGGCCAAGCCCGACTCTGGTGGGCAGGTGTCTCTCCTCTGTGCCTGTCTCTGTCCCATCAGTGCATGAGTCCCCTGAGGCCAGAAACATGGCTCATGCATCCATATATCCCTTCATCTAGCATGGAGTCTGGCACTTTGTTGGCCCTAAATGGGTGTTTATTGAATAGATACATGAATGCATGGGCATGTGGCTAAGAGGCAAACCATGTCCATGTTGATTTGACAACTGGAAAGAGGAAGTTCAGGCTATCGATTTGGAAACCATAACCACCAATGGGTTTTAAGGCTTTGGAAGGTGAAATGTAGCAGAAGTCATGGCCGTTCATCAGTGAGTGGTCACAGCTGTGGTTCTGGAGATGGGCCTGGCCACACAAAGCCATGTCTTTGTTTGAAGACACTTGTGACCTGGGGGCAGCTGCTTTCTTTTGGCATGGACGTAGGGTCTAAGGCTTTCCTTACCAGAGCCAACAGCTCTTCACTTTTCCAACACGAATTGCTGTCTCTGTGTTTGGAAGTGAAGATCACAGACTCTGAAGCCAGGATCCCAGTCTCAGGTTTGAAATGTATCAGTTGTGTAAACTTGGACAGATTACAAAGCCTTTCTGTGCCCATTACCACATACAGACACAGCAATAATAACACATCACGGTGTCTACCTCGCAAGGTTGCTGTGAGGATGAAATGTGTTCATACACATAACAGGTAATAAGTGCTCAATCACTGTGAACTATTATTATTTTGTATAAGACACGCAGTATCTTACAGTTCTGAAAGCCCATTTGTTACGCTATTTCATTCAATGTGTGGTCATCACCACTGTCCCATGAAATCAGATAACTCCGAAGACACAGCAGAAGAAGGACTTGAACCCCATCCTCTGTCTCCTGGACTAATGTTCTTCCCACCCGTCTCCCCTTTTCTCCTGTTGGCTCACAACCAAGATCTTCGTTTGACCAGTGGAACTGCTGGGATCCAGCCTAAACATGCCCTTTAAGCTGTAATTCAAGGACAACTCTGCCTGATGGCAAACTTGCAGCACCTTTGGGGGTCGGCGACCATGTACAATTCATAAAACACAGGTGTCTCCTTTAGAATGTCACAGCTCTTGTGAAAGCAAAGAGAATCCAGGTGCCAAACATAAGACTAATGATTAAAAATGAGACCAGGGACTGCTTCTGACTCTGCCTTTTCAGCAAATATCCCCTTTCATCAAGAGTGATGTAAATGCACACTGTTTCTTCAGTTACAAATTCTCTGTTTGCCTGCACGCCGACAGGAAACTGCTCCAGAAGTCTGACAAGAACTACACAACCTCAGCACACACTGAGCGATCCTTACCTTGAATAACACAATGGCATAGTCATATATTAACGCGGGGTCCTCGGTCTCCAGGGCACCCTTGGCGTACCACTCGATCGCTGCTTCAGGATTTTTGGCCACACCTTGCTGCCCCCAGAACAACATCTGTGCCAATCGTTGCTTCAAGACAATAGCAATTTAGAATAATGACTTTCCTGTGTAATGTTTAACTTAAGGTTTCAAAAGGTGAGAAGACAAACCTGGCTTGGAATGTTTTTATATTGAGAACCAAGGTAGACATGTATGTCATCTTCCAACTGGGGGCCAGAGCCCTGAAGGTGGACTTGTGTAAATATAAGTCCTTAACACAAGTTGGAAATGGTGCATCTGTGTGTGTGTGTGTATGTGTTCACGAGTGCATGCGTGTGAACAAATCAACTGCACCCAGGGCCAAAGCTGGACGGAGACATTTATAACTGTCTTCTCTCCTCCAACACCCCTTCTTTTGAGAGGTAGTGCCCATCCTTTTGAACAGCGAAGAGTGTGGAGGTCTATGCACATCTGTATTAATTAGGGCGTCTCTCTATAGCACTTATTACCTCCTATCCCAGCATTTGTCCACATGGCTGGCTCCACAATTAAACTCGAGGTTGGGAGCTCTCTGGGGGGTAGAAACCTCAAGATGTTATTCGTCTGACCTCTTCCCTTCAGCTCCCACCCACAAGCACTCAACGGAAGCTCACAGAAGCTGCCCAACTAAGATTTGCTGAATGAAGGAAGGATGAAGTGTCCTTTGCTAGGAAGGTTTATGCGAGCTCTGAAGTACAGGAAGTGGATCTGGCAGCGTTTCCAGAACAATGCACTAGAATTCCCTCTTGTACTAGAAAGACTGCAAGCTAGGGATAGCTGTCCAAGAATAAAGCCAGAGACAATGTCTGTTAACATTCTGGCCCCATGTTGGCCCCTGATTGTATTTCCTTCTTTCTGCTTCTCCTCCCATAGGCTTCTCTTCCCTTCCCCCTCCCACTCCCGCCAAGTACTTATAACTTCCAGCGAAATATCTCCTGAAATGCTAGAAGACCTGGCTACAGAGAGTGGGAGACTGGTTACCACTCTGAAATGTATGCTTGGCAATGTGTTTATTCTTTTCTGTTTTTTTTTTTTTTTTTAATCTTTCCATTTCTGGTCTTCCACCCACTTAGCAGACCCAGAGGCTCTTCCTGACACTGTGTGCTCACCAGGAGCATGAAGCCAAAGCCAAATCCTTTGGGAAGGAGGTCACGCCCATCCTGGTGCAATCAGCCTTAGCGAGCTCCCATCAGGAGGCTTTCTTCCTAGTGAAATCGAGGCAAGAAGGTGGATAGGGGACATTCTCCCAGCCTTCTGTCCTTCTAGTACCTCCTAAAGGTCCATCCAAAAGATAAGGCATGTTCAAGAGACAAGGTTGATCTTTTGGTCTAATATGCTGCAGGTGATTTTCTATAATTTTCCTAGCTTAGTTTATGGCCTTCTTCTTGATATCCATCTAATCTCTCCTGTACTCCAAGATGCTTCTTTTTATTTCTACCTGATACACCAAAATGTGTGGCGATAGTCTGCAGGACCAATCATAAATACTGTGACTCTCTCTGGGTACAGGGTAGGACTATGCTACCAGCCCACTTGAAGTCGAGAGTGACCAAGTGACTTGTTTTGGCCAATGAAATGTGAGAAGTGACATGTGCCACTTCTGAACAGAAGCATTAAGAGTCAGCCTGTGATGTACCATGGCTATCGTCCTATTTCAATAGTTTTGGAAGCAAGTATCGAGATGAAGTCTCTGCTACTTTGGGTTCCTAGGAGCCTATGATATGATAGCACAGCCCATGTGTTTGACTTTTCTCAGACAGGTAGTATGAGCAAGAAATAAACCAGCACTGTTATAAGCCACTTAAGTCTGGGATATTTTGTTACCACGGCATAAACTGGTCTATTGTGACTGCAGATTTCTAAGCCGAGGGACTGCTTTTTACCTGAGCTGCGGCATTGCCCCGGGTAGCTTCGTGCTTCAGCCACATAAAGACGTCTCCATCCTCTTTGGTTTGTACCTTGAGTATTTCATCATCTTTTAGTCTAATTGTTTCAACATATGCCTAAAAAAGAAGGAAGGGAGGGAGGGAAGGAGGAAGAGAGGGAAGAAGGAAAGGAAGAAGGGGAGAAAGGGAATATCCAAATGATACGGGCATGCAAAAGATATGACGTAAACCGGAAGCTGCTCATGGAAAAAATATATGAATAATTGAAATACGAGGTGTGTCCACAACGTCGTAAGATCAAACCCTTTTTAAATGGGTATATTGCATCTAAAGTATCTAAATGAGTATTTTTGCACCTATCAAAGCATTTGCTTTGAGAAGACAAAATTTATTCCACTTCCACTTCTATTGCTCGAACTTGTTCAGAAGTCCACTTTTCTGCCTCTGATTTCAGAACCAGATTATACGCAGCATCAAAAAGGTAAATCAATATTTTCTAAGTATAACCTATTTTTTATCCCAAAGTGTTATTATCCTGCATGACTAACTCTTTTTATTGAGCAGGCTTGGCTTCAAATATCTTTTGGCTATTTCCAAAAATTAAATCTACCTTGAAAAAAAGAGGGCATGTTAATGCTGAAGACGTGAGCAAGAATGTGCTGGAGGCTCTAAAGAGGAACCTAACGGGAAAGTTCGCAGAAACGCTTTGCATTTGTGCACGGTCTCCCAGGTATCTGACTCTTTTGAAGAAAATAAGACTCATTTTGATGTAGAAATTTTGGCTGTTTATCAAAAAGAAAAGAAAAAAAAAAAAGTTCGTGTTATTTCACGGTCTCCCCTTATACATAATGAATTATATCTAACAACACCGCAGAGGTACTGGAAAGGGCTTCCCGCACCGGCGCAGCCACAGGCAGATGGTGGTAAAATTGGATCTGCATGAGTTTGGGGGAACAGCCTCAGAGAACAAGGGGCTGATTTCCCTCCTGACACTCTCTGTCGGTGAGTTAGGAAAAACACTTGGATTTACAAACTCTAGCCTGCAGCCCCGTTCCTGAGGTCTCTCAGGCCACCTCCCTTTCAGGGCCACTAGGGGGCTGAGACTTGGGGACAGGGCTAGGACTCAAAACCAGGAGGCATCGATTCCTGTCGGATGTTTAACCTCAGGAGGCCACCAAGCAAAGAGCAACGATGAAAATAATAATGCCCATTGCCTTTTATTGAAACCAACTCTGTGCTGAGGGTTTAACAACTTTTTTTTTTTTTTTAATTTAGTTGTCATAACAAGGCCATGACCCAAATAGCACTGTCCTCAATTTACAGGCAAAGAAACGGAGGCGCAGAAGATGAAACCATGAACTCGAGGTCACATTGTAGAGCTGGCTCTGGAAGCCAGGCAGGCTGGAGGCCAAA